TGAGTGTTGACCAGCATTAATTTGCTGTTTTGAAAGCTTGATAGCTTCTGCATGGAGCACTTTGGCAAGATGATGTTTTTCTTCTGGGAATAACTCTGGGAAGGGAAGGATCCTCTCCCACAGAACCAACTGGTAGTCTGCCATAATGGTTCCATAACTGGCAATTTTGAAACTCAAAGCTGATGATGAATATACCGTAACTTTCTTCCCAGAATATTTTTCTCCCTTCTCTATCTGTGGGAGCAGAATGACAGGTCTGACGACCCTTTGGCTGCATTTCCTCCGTGACCAACGATGATGGGAGAGGATGGATCGTCAGGTAGTTAAACGGCTCCTTTTTTATCTTATAGAAGTGCTCTACCCTTCTGGAAGTAAGTTGGAGGGAAGCTGGCTTCTGCCAAAGATGTCTTCAAAGGCCTTCTAATACAGGAAATGCAATACTTCCAGGGGACTCTGAGTAAAGACTGCTCAAAATTTTGTCTTTAAACTTATGCTCCGAGGTAACCTCAATCACGAGGGATTGGGCCACGCAGATCATCTGTTCCCTGAACATGCAAAGATCCTCTGTAGGAGATGCAGGGGAAGGCTCGCCCACCCTCTCATCTGGACTTGGTTCCAAGGTTATATCGGATCCATCCAATTCTAATGCTGTTTCTTCTCCCCTGATTGGAATGGGAGAATGCAGCCAAGTAACATGGTTGCTGACAGAGGACAAGATGAAACCCTCTTTGAATAATGGTACACACTCACTTCTCCAGGACTTGCGAAATTGTCACCCATTCTTCTAAATATCCTGCTGACATCATATATGGATGCAACCGCCATCGCACAGGGGGATGGGGTGCACCCACAGAATTGTGGCCATCTATTCATCAGATTCTGGTAGGATCTGGCCTTGTGGCCATGCAGTGTCTCCATCCTCATCAGATATGGATGGGGAGGAGATCTCTGACCCGGAGGAGGGAGAGTTGGATTTATACCCCGCCCTTCACTTGGGAGTCTCAGAGCAGCTTACAATCACCACCCCTTCCTCTCCCCACAACAGACACCCTGTGAAGTAGGTGAGTCTGAGAGCTCTGAGAGAACTGTGACTGACCCAAGGTCACCCAGTTGGTCTCATGTGGAGGAGTGGGTTATCAAACCTGATTCTCCATATTAGAGTCTGCCACTCTTATCCACTACACCAAACTGGCTCTTAGGTTTCTCCTGTAAGGCTGGCAATGGTTCTGGTGTACAGGTGGAGGTGTTGGCAGGAGGCACCAATTTACGCTTCTCTTTTGTTTTACCTTCTTAGCTGGAAATTCCGACGAAGCTCAATGGGCTCAAGAAGAGCGTAACTGAGATCAGATCCGGGTGGTGGAGCCAAACACGTCAATTCTGATGGTGTGGAATTGGGCGGTTTTTCTGGAACCAACTTAACAGGGGCTCCAGGGCTTTTTCCCACAAAGCTGCCTTCAGTTCGGAAGTTTTATCATCCCACGCCTTTGGGTTCAAGCGCTGTCAGGCCTTACATGTGGTGACACTATGCTCCTCACCCAGACAGAACAAAGATCATACGTGTCCATCCGGGTCATTTTAGCTCTGCATCTGGAACGTTTCTTAAATAAAAACTTCTGAGCCATCACAATGCTTAGAAAGTAAAATAGCTGCAGTTTCAGCAAAGATCTACACAATAGCTAGAGTAATGCAAATGACCAATTTCTTTGGTGGCAAAAGAGGAACAAAGGGTAGTAGGGGCTCTGCCGTGCGGGAGACATACTCCTGGGCAAGAACCATCTTGGCTCTGGCGCACAGTGCCCCCTGGAGGCTCTTAGCTGTGAAGATCTATCTGATGGCAGGCCTGCACTTCTGCAGTCCTGATGTGGAACTGCACAGATTGATGATGAAATTAGGGTTATAAATGAATGAATAATAGAGTGGAAGAGGGGGGCAGATAAAAGGGTAGGAGGGAGAGAAGGAGGGACAGGTAAAGAAATGGGGTTTGCCATCAGGAGAGAAATAGTGTGGGAAGGAAGATACAAGGGATAGTGAAGTGTCCCTACAGAGCAACAAGGTCCTGGTAGCCAGTACCACCCAATGGGGCCATAGTTTTCCTGCATAAAGGCTAGGAGGGAAAGCACGGAAGCTGAAGATGGACAGTCAGGTAAGAGTAAGTTGGCAGAAGGAGACAAGAGAAGGGGAGATGCTATGAGGGCTTTCAGGGAAAGGCAAGAGGAAATAGTGGGGAAGGAGGAAAATGAAATGCTCCCAGAAGTTCTTGCAGTTTCCCCACTTGTAAATATATCACATTCTTAACACAGGTCCTTCTGTGGATACTTGATTCAAAGACCAGGGGAACTGACAAACAAGATCACTTTTTTTTTTTTTTAACAAACCTCATAAAATCCCTGGATTTGCAGAAAATTTGAAGCCGTTTTTAAAAAATACATTGGGGTTAAAACCTTCCAAGAACATAGAAGCAGCACCTCTGGTTTTAAGAAACAGATAGCCTTAGTGGACACTGCTGGGCAACCACAAGTACTTCCAGCCTTCAAGCCTTGGTTTGTCTGTAAAACGCAGGGGGCCTTTTCAGAAATTTTGGGCTTTGAGGGAAGACTCAGCATGGTGAGACCTAGACGCAACCACCAGGCGATTTGCACGATTCACCCAGGCTCAGCTGATTGCTACTGCTCAACAGCAGTAACCCCATGATAGCCAGTGTGGTGTAGTGCTTAGTTTCACAGTAGGGCCTGGGAAACCCATTTTCTAATCCCTACTCGGCCATAGAAGCTTGCTGGGTGACCTTGGGCCAATAACACACTATCAACTGAATCCACTTCTCAGGGTTGCTGTGAGAGTTAAATGGAGAATGATATAAGAGAAGAAGAAGAGAGAAGAGATTGGATTTATACCCTGCCCTTCACTTGGAGTCTCAGGGCGGCTTACAAACTCCTTTCCCTTCCCCTCCCCACAACAGACACCCTGTGAGGTGGGTGGGGCTTAGAGAGCTCTGACACAAACTGCTCTTTTTCAAGGACAGCTGTGCCAGAGCTTGTGACTGACCCAAGGTCACATCAGCAGGTGCAAGTGGAGGAGTGGGGAATCAAACCCGGTTTTCCCAGATTAGAGTCTGCACACTTAACCACTACACCAAACTGGCACCAAATAAGCTTCTTTGATTCCCCTTTGGGAATAAATATGGGGTATATCAAAATTAAATAAAATAAATAAGAGCTGGAGATTGGAGAAAAGCAAGAAGGAAGCAGAGAAATTTGAGGATATGGGCCACCAGAAAAGAGGAAATAGTGCAGGGAGGGGCATATAGAGGAAAGTGAGATGCCCCCTGCAAGTCCCCCACTGTGCAAATGGTCCCAACTCCACACAACTAGGTTAGATTCTTCCCAGGGAGAAGCTGCCAGGGGGAGGAAAAACTAAGGATGGGGAGCAGACAAAGGTAAGTTTGGCTGGTGGGTGAGAAGGTGAGGCAGCAGAAAAAAGGGAGAGAATATAAGGATTTTCAGAAAAGGGAAAGAAAAAAAAAAGAGGAAATAGTGGGTGAGGAGAGAAAATGAAATGCCTCCTGCAAGCCCTTACAGTACCCCAGCTTGTTTTTGTGTATGAACAATGTGCTTAAACTAACCTTCCTTCCTTGCCTGTCTGCCTTTCAAAAGGGGAGATATTTGTAGAATCCACAGCTGTAGGAATACGTGGGAGTATGATAATCACGTTGCCTACTGAATATACACAATCTTCTCTAAACTTGAGGGCATTAGTGGATATACCTGTTTTTCCTACACTTGAGGGTGCTGTGCTGCATTTGTGCCTTCATAGTCTTTCTTTTTATGTGCGTGATATGTTGGAGCATGGGGACATCACAGAAGTTGTGCTAGCATTGTCACTATGACCTCCAGTGTCAATGCCATGCCATTAAAGTAATAAGGTTTTCCATGTTATTTCTCTGCTAGGAGAACACAGTTGATATCCTACATCTATGCTACATCAGTGAAGTAGTGCCTAACAGACCTAAGAACACTTTCCTGGGAGTGAGCCCTATTGAATATCATAGGACTTACTTACCAAGTAGACCAGCTTAGGCTTGCTCCTACAGTGTGCTCAATTTTTAACTCGCATTTCTTAAGTCTAGGTTTCATAAACAAGGGGTTTCCAGTGTTGTGCCCATGAGCACCATGGTGTGTGGACAGGGTCAGGTGGCACTTGAGTACATCAGTGCTTCTGATTGGCTGTGCAGGTTAAAAGGCATTTTGTTAAACAGAGCTTCTGCCTTAAAAGTTGAAGAGTTACTATGAGTTATGTATAACCTTGCTCCATGACATTTTGTGATTGGCTTTACCTCATGTCAGGATTCCAAATGTGTCCACATGATCAAAAGCATTGGGGACCACTGTCATAAACAGCGTAGTAATAGGAAAATATGTAAAGGAAAGTTGCCTTTAGCTCTTGTCAGTATTTCCAGAAAATAAATAATTGACCACATTTTCATTAAGTACGTGACCATATGAAGAACCTTTTTTTCTATGAAAACCATTCTTGTAAGAAGTAACCAAACCGAGTTATTATCTTTGAGCTTTAGAAATTACTCTACTATGTTTATGAACAGTTTCTTTTATTTTTGGATTTTTAAACCAGTTACAAATGTCATAAGGCACAAATACCTTAAAAATAGCAGGAAATTTATACCAAATATAACTATGACTTACTCATTCCTACTGCTTAGTTACTACTTACAATAATCCCACAGAAGGATTAAAAACCCTTAGCACTGAGCTTCTTCATCTTTAGATTTCCACTTATTACAGTAACCCTGAGTTCCCAATATTTTAGATATAAAAACCCACTTTTGCTAACACAGAAGTTTTAAATAACAAGACGCTACTATGTTCCACTATTAAAATATTATCATGGATGTTTTCTGAATTCAAAAACCAGCCAAAAAGGCATGTTATAACTAATCACCTATCCTGATATAACAGTTTTCTTAGAATTGCAATTAAATTTGTCACTTAAATGCTAAATATATTTAGGCGCCTTTTTAAATTATTCAAGTCATTTGCATTAACATCTTGCAAAACTATTACTGTTGCCTTTGCCTCAGAGGGGTTAAATTCAATAGTCATTAAACAACAGAGGTCTATTAGTTCTCTTTGGCAATTGCATAAACCTGTCTTAAGTTCTGGGTGCAAGACAGGATCCTTCTTCAGTTGCTTCATTTCAGGCACTGAAAACCCAATCAAGCTTGTTAGAATTTCATTAGCAAAGTCAACTTCTAAGTAAGCGGTGCCATCAGATATTTTTGCTGTTACACTCCATAAGCCACTGCTGCTTGTGAGTTTTCCTGTAAGAGTTACTATAAAGGCCTTAACTTTCACATAGATAATACCCTTGGGCTGGTTACTTAATAGAACAGAAATATATGTAAAAGGAGGTGTATCTAAATTTACTTTGAGATATTTACCCTTTAATCCATATGCTTGTACATGGTCAGAGTACTGTTTAGGTTTTGCATTAGTGTCCATTACTCTATTGTTAGAGATATCGGAGGACTTTTCTTCATTCCTAATTACATCTGTTTTACTGCATCTGTCACGTACAGACATATTTTTTGAACAGTCATCCAGATTTATTAAAAAATCACTTCCACTATTATCAAATACATCAGACGTCCCTCTTTTAACAGATTTATCTGCCCTGCTAGGCGGATTACTTCTATTCAGTGCTTGTGGTTGTTCCTGGATCTCTTCTACTAAAAGCAAATCATCATCCAAAGGAAATTCATCTAAATCTTGTTCCATGTATTCTGAAACTGGAACAGTTGGTTGGTCATTGGCTGCAATGAAGATTGCAGTGTCTTGCTCTGAGCAGCTTGCATTGTTGGGAAGAAGAGAATGTGTGTTAGAATTAGAACTAGTACTTCTGCTGCAATATCCACTTTCGAGAGGGGCTTCATTTATTATCAGTTCATCATTTTCCTCTAGACTTGCCAGAAGCTCTTCATCAGAAGGCCCTAGGACTTGGCCTACTTCATCAACAGGTCTGGAAATTCCAGGGCCTCCAGTAACAGATCTGACAGCATTAGGGAAGTCATTTTCTCCAATCAGTTGAGCAAGAACTCTTTCCTCAGCATACTCCTCCATAAGGCTATCTACTTCACCTCCCAACAATCTCACATTTTCTGGTTTAAGCAGAAGAACACCTAAACGATAGGGCACTTTCCCCTGTATCATAATTTTTGTGCCTGGAGCGAGGCTGCTATGGAGAACAGGAACAGAGTGGTATTCCATACCCTGAATGTGATTTATGCCATCAGTCAGTTTCAGCATCAGCATTCGAGTAGGCCTTGCTTCCCAGGACTTCTGGGTTCCTTGTGTACTAGCAGTAATTTCCTCATTTACAGTATTTTTCCCTCTTATCTTTTGCAACTGCGAATAGACGGGCTGACTCACATCAACAAGTGAATCAATCTGTATGGAATAAAAGCCTTTTAACTCTCCTTTTGGAGTATTTAAAATGCAGTCTGGCAAAACAGGATATTCAAGATCTCTGAGATCTGTAAGAAGCCACTGCTCAAAAACTTGCTTGTTAATATAAGCCTGAGTCAAATTACTAAGGCCATTTTCTTCTTGAATCCAGTCAATACAAGCTTGTAGCCATGGTACTGGAACTTTTACATGCCATGTAGATGAAAGCCAAGTTTCCACTCTTACTGCAAGACTTGATGCACTCATTTTCTTCTGAGGTACATTAAAAAATCTATGAATGCCCTGCAACAAAAAACAGTAACTTTTAGAATTTCTACTCACAAAGGAACATCTAAAATTATCATCTCCCAATGTAGGGGCAGACTGATCCCCAATATCACATTTCCAATTCAGTAGGTGTATTAGACGAATCAGTCCAAGCAACCCACTTTTTTTTTAAGACACTGGAGGACATCCAGTTACATACCCTGCAGTTAGCATAGTCCCTGGCATAAATGCCACCGTATAGAAGATTGGCAACTGCTTTATTACCCAGTCCTAGATCTGTTATTTTTAGAAACAAGTTTCATTGGATTCAATGGCCTCTACTCCCAAGTAAGCATGTATTTGTCCAGTGCATTGCAGGTGGTTTCTTTAGCCATTGAACAGCGCTATAGTATTTATGCATTCTCTTCTCATATTAATGTCAGAGATAAGAGAGATTTCCTTGGTTATAGCCATAGTATAGTAGAAGAAGAGGGGATGAAAGCAAGTTTACAAATAGAACAAGGTGCAAAGCCAGTTGTGAATGCTGGGGTTTCCCCCTCTCCCCTTATTTCACCCCCTGCTTGCTTGCCAGTCTCCAGGTCCTGCTCATCGCCTTGGTGACCTCTTTCCTACCCTCCAAGAGCAAGGGAGTTCCAGGAGGAGAGCTGTGTGCTCAGACCCTTGCCACTGCTCAGATTCAGGAAGCAGCAACATTAGAGTTGGTTTACTAGGAACAGGTGGCAAGATCTATCAAACCAAGTTCTAAGGAGCAGAGGTTCCAACTGCTCAATCCCACCCTAGCATAGTATAAGAAACCCTTATCTGAACACTTGTGGCCCAATCTGAAATAGGTTTATGGTGAATTAGTTAAGTTAAATAGGACCTGCTTCCCTGGTAAGAAAGTTTAAGATTACTCTGTTTTTAATGAGCCTGTAGTGGACATTATGAGAGGGTATCCATGTTCGTTTGCAGTAGAACAGTTAGATTCAGTTTCAGTAGCACCTTAGGGACCAGCAGCCCCTTTGACTCTCAAAAGCTTGTTGGTCTCTCAGGTGCTACTGGACTCTAACTGTAGTAGACATAACACGCCAAATTGTTAGTCTTAAATAGATCTAGTGACTTCCACCAGACAAGCTCAAGACCAAATTACGAGTCATCACATACCAAATTACTGCATTATTTACATGTAAATAATCCATAAAAATACAGAAAAGAACCAAAGCATTCAGGCTACAATTACTTCCTTAACTTTTATCAGTCTTCTCTGGAAAACTTTACAAATTGTCACATGCTGAACAGAACATTTTAAGAATAATATGTGTCAAAGGACACAATTCCACAATTCTTCACAGTAAAGTATGGAGTTCCCATTTTAAATTTTTTCTTAACTAGCTCTGCTCATTTAATCACGACCTACTGCTTTCATATCAATATACTTAGGATGCATCCACACATCGAGGATTTTGTTAGGCATGTGTATCGATTGGTCTGGCAGTATAGTTTCCTATCCACTTCTCTCTGTAGGCAGGCATTTTCCCTGCATTTTGCCCCACTGGAAGGATTTTTCAGGGGTTTTTTTATAGCAATTATAGTATGTTTGTATTAAGCCCTAAAAAAGCCTTCTGGAGGAAATGCAGGGGAAAACAGCTGCTATGAGAGGAAGACCCATTCTGCACCTAGCATTCGCTCTGTTGTTTTACCAAACCCACACTGGAACAGAAAAAGATGCAGCTCAAAAGCATATTCAAATACCCCAGGCCAATGCTGTACTGGCTGCAGAGTCACCCCTCAACAGCCATAGGTAAAGGTTCCCTTGCTCGAAAGTCAGTCGAGTCCGACTCTAGGGTTGCGGTGCTCATCTCCGTTTCAAAGCCGAAGAGCCAGCGCTGTCTGAAGACGTTTCCGTGGTCATGTGGCCAGCATGACTAGACGCAGAGGCGCACGGAACGCTGTTACCTTCCCACCGAAGTGGTACCTATTTATCTACTTGCAATTTCTTGCTTTCGAACTGCTAGGTTGGCAGGAGCTGGGGCCAGAGATGGGAGCTCACTCCGTCATGTGGCAACTCGGGTCTCGAACTGCTGAACTACTGACCTTCCACAGCCTGCAGTTCAGCGTCTTAACCACTTGAGCCACCCGCAGCTCCTGCAACAGCCATAAAATGGCCATAAATCTATGCAGACAGTACCATAAAACCAAGAGATCAAAGGAAGTGAAACCAGCATGCAGTGTGGAAGCTTCCATAAAATCCAACAATCAAAGTGAAAGTGGCATGCAATGTAGATGGAAATTTCTGTTCCTACATGGGTTTGGTAAAACAGTGGAGTGAATGCTAGATGCAGAATGGGCCAAAGATTAGTGATGTACATTTTCAAGAAATTATCAAGTAACCATACCCCACCCAGGAAAAAGGGGGGGGGGGGGGGAGACTGAAATATATCCTGAGTTTCATATCAAACCTAAACTTCTTTTACTGATTAATAGTGCAACCCTATGCAGAGTTACACCAGTCTGAGCCAGCTTAAATCAGTGGGCTTAGACTGGAGTAACTCTTTTGAGGATTGTGATGTTAACAACATAAATGCATAATTTATTATTTAGCTCACATACAAAATGTTATTGGCTTCTTTATGGAATTTAGAAGGATAAATATCTTCATTTTCTATAATAAAAATTGCAAGTATACCCAATACTTCTCAAAAATGTTGCAAATGACTACATCCTATCTCAGCACAGCACAAGTATCTTAATTTTTGCCAACCAAGACACAGGAAAAAAATAAAAATTTAAAGAAGAAAACCAGTTCTGTAGTGAGCAAAATAAAGTGCATTACTTGAACAGTCATAAGAGGCAGGACTACCAGAATATTTGAATTTCGTTAAACTTTAAAGCATTGAAAATGCTGAACTCTTTTAAAAAGCCTTCAGACTTTTTTCATGGTATACATTTGGAATGAGTGAAATGTTTTTAAGACAAGATTGTTCTTCAAAAAGAGAAACCATTTCATAGGTTTTTTCCCCATTGGATAAAAAAAGGGGGTAAAAAACCCCTTGTGTTCAAAAAACCACTTTCCCACTCAAATGTTTCCAGGCTTCCAGTTTGCTAAAACAGATGGAAAGAAAATAGTGTGGATGTTGATAGGCCCTTCAAAAACACACACCTTTCTGGCCAGACTATGGCTACCATGCCTGACCTTTGTTCTTTCTGAAAAGATCACAGCAGAGCAGGTTTGAGAAATAATATGCTGAGGATGGGGCAAACCTGGAAGTGAATGATGATTACAAGACATTGTATGGATGTTCCAGAAATCCAGTTCTCCAACCTGGGAGCAAAGATGGAGAAAAACATCCATGTGAAAGTAGCTTTACTACAGTTTAAAGCATGGGTATCAAACCTATGGCCTGCAGGCCGGAACTGGACCACCCAGGGCTTTAATCTGGCCCACAAGCAAGTGGCCAGAGGGAGAGAAGGGGAGAGAACCACCGTTTGAGTTACCATGGGGAGCATACACTTTGGGGCTCTCTTTTCTCCCCCCCCCCCCGAATAAAGTGAAGGGCCAAATGCCCCTCCTGTGTTTTCCCATGCAAATCCCTTCCCCTCATTATTTGGGTCTGATTCCCCCTCAGCTTGCTACTGTGTGTGTGCAAAGCAAAGTTTGAGTACAGTGGCACCTTAAGACCAACTAAGTTTTCTTTAAGGTATGAGCTTTCCTGTGCCTTGCTACAGTGCATGTATGTTCTGCTGGGCTCATTATGCTATGGTTCTCCTGGGTGCAAGTGGGTCTGCCTCCCTCTCCCCCTTGCCTTGCTACTGTGCACACGTCTGTATGTATGCAAAGCAACATTTGAGTCCAGTGGCATCTGAAGACCAACAAGATTTTCTACAAGATGTGAGCTTTCCTGTGTGTGTGTGTGTTCAGTTGGGCTCATTATTCTGCAGTTCTCCCAAGTGGAACTGGGTCTGCTTCCCCCTCCCCTCGCTACTATGCATGCATGTGTGTGTGCAAAGCAACATTTGAGTCCAGCAGAGTTTAAAGACTGGCAAAGTTTTCTTTAAGATGTAAGCTTTCTTGTGCCTTGCCTCTCTCTCTCTCTCTCTCTCACTTACTTTGTGTGTTCGTTTGGGCTCAAGTTATGCTGCAGTTGTCCCAGGTAAAAATGGGTCTGCTTCCACCTCCCCTCCCTCTTCCCCTCGCCTTGCTACTGTGTGCATGTTTGAATCCAGCAGCATCTAAGTTTTCTTCAAGGTATGAGCTTTCCTGTGCCTTGTTACTCAGCGTGTTTTGTTGGGCTGGTTATGCCATGGTTCTTCTGGGTGCAACTGGGTCCGCCTCCTCCTCCCCTTCACTGTATTCATGCCTGCCTCATAGGATTTGGAGCCATTTTTCTGGGAAAGACTATACTTTTGTAGACAAATATTCTGGTTTCGTTTTGTAGACATCCTACTCCAGGCAGCATGGGGGCATCAGCAACAAAATACTACAACAGTATTACTGTTTTAAGCATGTTTGTATTTTAAGTAAAAACTATATATTTAATTGTGTTACTCTGTCCTTTATAAAGTTTATATCTCTGCTACCTAGTACTACATTTTATGACACACATAGCCTGGCCAGACAAGGGCCCATTTATATCAGATCCAGCCCTCATAACAAATGAGTTTGACACCCCTGGTTTAAAGCCAGAGATTTACTACTAACATGGAAAAATAAAAAAAGCAAAGCAAAAAATTACCACAGGGCAAAGATGTATATAAACTAGGTAAAAATTCTGTTTTTCTTTGAGGCTGCTAATATGCAATCAGATTAGCTTTGATGTTTACTTTTGTGAGCTAGAAGCAGTAGGGAAATTATGAGTTAAGTATATATTAACGGTTGCAATCCCGTTCTAAGCACATTTCCTCAGGAGAAAATTCATCAGAGCTCAGTCAAGCTTAACTCTTAAGTATGCCTGCATAGGATTACAGCCTTACACCATAAAACAGAAAACTGTCATTTCTATTTGCAAAACTTCTGCCCTCGAGCAGAATAGTTCATCTTCCAAACCGTACCGTACCAAACTGTCTCTACAACTAACTGAACATCAAAAAGAGTGTGTATTATTATGTGTCAGATTTGCCAACAAGCTACATCAAAAAATGTTCTATAATTTCAGAGACTTGGTTTTTTGAAAACCAGCATTTTAAGTTTATCATGGCATACAGATAAACAACATCGTCTGGTTAAGAGAATCCCATTAAACTTCTATTAAGGGGGCAGGACATTTGCTTCTCCAGGTTAGCAGCAACCCTATTAATGCATGGATATACAGGGACGTCAAAGGATGATATGGTTAGACAGTGTTATGGAGGCAACGAACGGAAGACAGGAGGGCCTGGCGTGATGTGTGGTCCATGGGGTCGCGAAGAGTCGGATTCGACTGTGCGACTGAACCACAACATACATACAGAGAGCGAGAGAGAAGTCATATACAGTTCGCCATTATCCCGACTTACTGCCTCCCTGAAAAAGGCTGAAAAACCCCTTAAAGACAAGAGTCGACAATGAAACCAAGCATATACACCTTCACACCCCACCTATGTATTTGGGACGATGTTCCTTCCGAGCCCGCATACCTTTTCCCAACATGTGCGGCTTGCACCCACTTCCTATTCCGCCGTCACTCCATAACAACTCTAGTTCAACTCCCCCACCCTTTGTTTTAAGCGCCAAATCGACCTAAGAACTCAACTTCCAGGACTCGCGAGAAGTTAAAACCCCCACCCCCAGTTACAGATCGCGAGGACGAGTTTTTGCAAGCGCCATTTTTTGCTCGCTCTCACACGCGACCTCGAGTCAGTTTCGTTCTCCTTGAAGCACTGCTGCGCGATTCTTAACTGTAGAGCTTTAGATCACTAATTTTTAAACAATTTTTGCAGTGTAAGTATTATCCAATATGTAAACCGAGGGGGAGGTTGAGAAAGGGAAATCAAGTAATAGGGGCCGATGGGAGGACGGTGAAAGGAAAAGTGTTGCAAGCCTATCAAGTGCTGCTCGCTTTACCGGCCCTCAGCCGAGCTTGCAGCGTTGGCGCGCGGGAGGCCGCCACGGAGGGCGGGACTCGAGGGAAAAACGCCTCCAATGAAAGAAAGACAGATATAGCAGCTAATAGAAATGGGATATCTGGGTGGCGGAGCCAATGAGAGAGCGACAGTGGCGTGTGCGCGCGCGGGGCTGATAGTTGGTCTCCTTTCTCTCACAATCCCTGAGGTGGATTCGGCAGAGTTAGTACGCAGCGTGGTAAGGCGTAGACAGAGCTCGGGTGGCTTAAATTCTCCTTTAGCCTCTTGGTGTCTGAAAGGGAGATTGCTGTATGTTCGGCCCTGATGAGCCTCAGGCCTAGCGAATTCCGGCGGGCCGGGGAGGGGGGGCAGATTCCTTACGAGGAGTGGGTGGTATTTCAGCGTTGTAACAAAGGGTAGCCATTTCGTTCCTTTCTGTTTTTTCCTCTGCAATACTTTCACTTCGTTCGCGGGATCCGATTCGGGAGGGAACGACGCAAGAAAGCGGCGCTGCCTGGTTTGTGGCGGCTGTTGCGGAATAGATCATGGCGGCTGATGAGAGGGGGGGGGGAGGAACGAGAGGCGTTTCCTCGTCCTTTTCTTGTCGGGCCTGTTGAATCCTAACAGGGGCCAGCAGACTTGGTGGGTGCCGCAGCCTTGTTCCCTGGTATGGCGTGAGGCAGGGCGAGACTTCAGACATCTTTTGTGTCTCGAGGGTGGCGGACCTTCCCGTGGAGCCGCTGCGTGGCGTTACTTTTTCCGCTCCCGGCTCCTCCTAGCAGCTCATGGTCGCCATTACAGCCGAGTCCGCTGTTAGAGCCGCCATTTTTAGTCCCGTTGGTCTCTACCAAACGCAAGTCAGGATTACGCAACCAGCTGCGCGGGGCCTTCTCTCCCCCACGTTTATCGATGGGTTGTAGGCTACAACTTGTAATGGGAGTTGTTGCCGGTAATTAGGCCTTTAATAGAAACAGCTGGCCCTTGCGTCTGACTCTTATTTTATAGACCCGCTGGCCTGACTGCGGCGTTGGAGGGGTAAATAACTGGGTATAGTTTTTGTTGCAAAAGGAAATTAAATCTGCATGAAATGTTTGGCGTTTGTTGAATTTTCTGCCGCCATCCACCTTCGCCCACCGCGTAGGTCGTGCTGTTAGCCTTACTTTCTTTTAACTACGTTGCTAACAACACTAGATGGATTTCTCGAATATTCGTCTTCGTTTATTACAGATTTTGAAACCTGTGTAAACAGTGTGATTATGTTTTGTCATGGGTTGGTGCAAAACAAAGGTGCCTGGATGGTTTTTCCTGTTACAGCCTGCTACTGAAAACAACATTTTCAGTACTTTTCTCATTATTCTCCTGGCATTTGTCACAGTTATTGTTATTATAACATTGGCTGTAACTGTTCATATAACCAGATGATTTAAAGAAGGTCTCTGTCTCTTTGTTAAATATTGGGCTAAATTTACTGCCAGACAAGCAATTTATATAATGTCAAGTAACTGACACATTTTTTGATTCCTAGTTTTGAATTCTATGATGTTCTGTATGTGAAATAAATATAACATGATTATTCAGTGTCTGAATGCAATGCTCAAGGGTTTTTCTTGTATTATAAATGAGCAGTGAAACTTAGAACTATAAAATGGATTTTTTAAAAGATCAGTATGTTAGTGGGCTGTGAGTAAAGGACCCAGATGACATAAAATGTAGTGTACCTTGACAAAGAGAGCTTTATATTTCATAGTCTGGAGAGAAAAGATGGCTACTACAGGATAGTAACAGACACATTAACATTTGTCCTTGGTTTTATCTTTAATTTAATTGTGGAAACTAATCTGTAAATGATCAAGATCAAAACTGTATGTTGCTTTTCATAGGCTGTCTGATCTTTGATCCCGCCCAGAACACTTAAGTTTTGCTTGGCAAGACTATATAATATTGGTAAGTGCTAAAACCCAGATGCCCCCACCTGACATCATTTCTTTAGAAAGATGTAGAGCTTGCTGTTCTCTGTAAGTGCTTTAGTATATTTATTATTTGACAGATTGTATCTGCAAGTCTAAAAATAATGGAGACTGAACAACAAGAGGAGACCTTTACTAACACAGAAACCAATGGTAAGCTTACTTTATATGTTGATTAGCTATTTCTGTTAGCTACAGTAGTAACTAAATGGAACTTATATCAAGAGTTAATATAATGAATGGTGAACACTAGACAAATAACGTTTTTCCCCCTGGGATGTCAGAGTTACAGATGTTCTTTAGAAAGGAGTATTTACCAGCTACTACATTTGTGTATTTTATAAAGTGCTTGTAATCGACAACACATTTAGTTTTTGCTGTCTTGTCGATTGTACTGAATTCTGAAACTAACTTGTTTACAATGATTTTTGAGGACACTTAAATCATTTAGGGATGCCAAGTATCCAAAATTTTGTATATGGTGCCTTATCTTTAGTGTGGACAGTTTAAATTATATAAATGTCACAAGATCTTGGTAGATGTCTACTTGTAATTATACAATTGTCACATGGCAATGTGAAACGAGCAGTTTGAGGATTATGGGTGTTATAAATCTGTATTGTCAGAAATTTAAACTTAAGTCTGGCTTTACTAACACTTTTGAGATGGTTTTGTATGAAACTAGTTTCTCATGGTTCTTGATATAAATGGGTAACAAGAACACTGAATTACAGCCGTATTTTGGATTTTATTGTAATTTGTTGCTAGATTTGCTTTTAGTATTATTTGAACGGTGGTCAATATTTGAGCTGGAAATACTTTTGGTATAGAGTTTCAAATTCATAGTTACAGCCGGTCTCTCAAGTTCATGCTATAAATGATAACTTTGTAGAATTAATTAATCTAATAAAATATTATGTTGAAGAAGATTTGTTTGTAAAAAGAGAATAATTGCATTGTTATCCTTTGAAATACTAGGCATATTGAAGAGGAACAGGCCTTCAAAAGGTCTAGGAACACTGATGAGATGGTTGAACTGCGCATTCTGCTTCAGAGTAAAGTATGTTTCCCTTTTTTATACAAGATGCTTTTTACAGATGATATTCATGGTCTTTATTTATTTAGCTACTTGGGTCATCTGCATTAGATTACAGGTTATGAACAGAGCACATCTGGAACTGCAGTTAAAGTTTACTGGGAAGACTATTACAGAATTCTGTACCAAATTGCCAATTTAGAGAAACAGAAATGTTTCTGCCACTTGAACTGAGGAATTTCTCTTCAGGATGACCTAGCAGTTACTGATTATGACGTGGAAATTCACATTATATCTGCTGTTCAGAAATTTGGTTACTGTATGTTTAGCGTTCATTTGTAGGGTTAAATGCTACTCTTGATCAGCAACAGTTGCAGACAGTCTGTGCAGTTTTCTTTTTGTGTATGTTAAAAATGTAGTAGTAGTATAATGGGTTTTTTTAAATAAAAAAAAAACACCTGAAGTCAGGCTGTACTTAGCCTTGTGTCAAGATTGTACCTTGGTTTATTCCCTGGAAAATGAGGTTTATGAAGCAAGGGTAATGTCAGTGATCCACCTTTCATCCTTTACCCATAAGTTTTATTTTATGTTCATTTCATAAATTTTACTTGTGAATCTTTTTAGAATGCTGGAGCAGTGATTGGCAAAGGTGGCAAAAATATTAAGGCGCTTCGTACAGACGTGAGTATTTAAAAGTTAAACACTATTTTGCAGTACATAGCATTTAAAGCTAATTGTGAAATTTCCGTAGACTTAGGTGTTCAATACAAACCATAGGTAATGATTTTTAGTTTAGGTGTCAGGATTTTCCATTAGTATCATAATTAAAACACAGAATGAATCATGTGGAGAGATTCCTGTCCCCTTCTTTTGGAAATGCATCACACTAAATTGTATATTTTGATGCCTTAACTAGTAATACTGAAGCGGGCTTAGATCCTTAATTCCACAATTTCCTATGGAAATTTTCAGCTGCTTTTAGGAAACACTCTAGTTGCCTGTTCTTTGCCCAGTTATAGAAGTGATTTTTGTTTAAACATTCCATCTGTTTGGGAGAGAGATGTTCTAAGACTGGCATGACTTTATGTATGGGAACTGAGTAGTATAGGTGTGTTCTAATAAGGAAGGAATTTTCATTAAACATGACTGAATCTATTTACTTTTTTATAGTGGGTTGACTCTTGTGAATAGACACGCTCAGCATTAACGAAGCCTCATAGTTTAATACTATGCTTTGTAAAAAGCAATTTCTTGTTTATTGTGCACTATACATAGTTTTTTCCATATTTTAAAGTAGTGATATTGGTGTTAAATGAAATATTTGGCACTATATCATTTCACATTGTGTTTGATATTTTCATTATATTGTAAAATAAACTCCTGCAGAATGTTCCAGCTGTCAACTTTAGTTATTAGATCCTGAGGTATAAGACTGTAAACAAGAACTGGGTAGCAATCACTTGTGCTTTAACTGACCTTTTTGAACCTAGTGTACTTAAAAATTCACCTACCTAAATCCAGATTTCATACATATAATTCCTGGATTAGTGGCTTTCCCATTTTTCCCAGGATTTCTATAACCTGAATCTCTACAGGTTTTGTGTCTACCCTCATGAGCCAGCCTGCTACTGCAGCTTATAATGTTAAAAGTAGTTTAGGCCAAGTAACTCATTTTTGCGATCCATAACTGTTAAGCCACAGTCATTGTAGCTATCCGTTATTGTGTTAGTCTTCAGAACAACTTAAGCTTGTTTCATTGAGAGTAATGAGTATAGTTTGTATTAAATTAAAATTTATTGCTTTTCCCCCTCTTCCCTCTCCTTGTTTTTTTGGCCATATATCTCTCCGTTGCCCATGTACTGGATCGACTTGCCCCTGCGTTGCCCACCATGACGTTGGCCCATCCGCCCCTGAACGCCCATGTGAAAACCCTGGTTGGCTATGCCCAAAAATGTGCTCGTTGCCAAACGGGTGCCTTACTTGACAACTTCTGATTGAATGCCCATGCCCAATGCCAACATCCACGAACGCCAATGACCAATGCAGTACAATGCCAGTGTTTCAGTCCCAGACAGCAGTGGCCCCGAGCGGTATGTCCCAACAGTTTATGCCTCACTGCCTGATTAGAAAGAGAGAAATGTATATTATTACCTGCCTTTATATAATTAAATAGTATCCCCGTAGACGGTGTATTGTTTTTTAAGTTTTCTGTCTTATTTTCCCCATTAAGTCTTTTTTGTCACTGAACTTTTACGTGAATTGCCCACCCAACAATCCACTAATTTTATTTCAATGGAAGGAGCACAGCTTCAATTGTTGTATATTTGCTGCATTGTAAATCAGATTGTTTCAAAATAGTCTCTTGCTCTGTCTTTGTGGCCCACCTTGCTCCCCCAGCATTGCCTGCTCATAATTTTTTCTGATGAAATGCTAACTCCTGGTTCACTCTCCTTCACTTCTCATTTGTGTTGTCCTTTTTGTCTTGCATTTGTATTCGTTTTCTCGCGGAGCCCATTAGTAATCTAATTTCTAACTGGTCTCATAATCCTATTCCAAATATAATGTTCACCACTCGCATATTCCCATGTTTCCTATGATAAGGTGTGCCAGTTGAATAATGTGATAGCGAGGGTGTCCTAAATTAATGGTGGCGGGGAACATCAGTATTCACTTCTACTTTCAGTTCTTCGTCAGTTTCTTGCCCACTTAATCTGAGCCCTTCCAAAAAGCCCATTCTCTATCTCCAAACCCTTATTTTGAACTTGTACCATTTATAGTATTGGGCATAAACAAGGTGCATGTGCTATAACTTCAGTAAACAGGTTTACTTAAATGGGGAATATATCTGTAAGACCTACTGTGTAAAGTTGACTTATGATCCATATAATTATGAATATACAACTTACTTTACCTTTTCCCATCTTGTCTGTGATACCTGACACTTGTGGTATTTGACAGCATACTGAGTATAAGTGCAGACATTGAAACAATTGGAGAAATTCTGAAGAAAATTATCCCTACTTTGGAAGAGGTGAGTGTTCAGGAATATGCATGACTCCCTAGTTTCTGATAAGTTCAGTTTTCTGCAGCCAATTCCTTCCCCATGATTTAGATGTAAAATGTCCTGTTTGGATGGTGGCTAGATTAATTAGAGTCGTATTGTATTCCTTAAATAAAATTAATCTGCTTTTCCAATATGCTAGATTCTCTTTGAACTATGATAAGACCTTTGGGAGGGAAGCAGTAGCCTGCTTTTGGCCAGCCCAAGGGCTTGCACTTGGCCAGTGGGATTTTTTAACAACAGATCCCTGTACCATACAGTAAGCTCTTGTTGGATTTGCTTTGCAGAAAAGGAAACTAATACTGGAGAAACTGTTGATCTAAACCTCTTTGAGGCTCATGGAACTATTGCATTAGTTCTGTTTTATACAGCAGATGCATTGAGTCAGATCATTAAAAGTATCGAAAACTTGTAAAAGTTATTCAAGTCAGCTTTTGTTAACTAACTGCTCTTAACTTTTTGTCTAGTACCAGCATTACAAAGGAAGTGATTTTGACTGTGAATTAAGGTTGTTGATTCACCAGAGTTTGGCTGGAGGAATTATTGGTGTCAAAGGAGCTAAAATCAAAGAACTTCGAGAGGTATTTTCTCTTTGAAAGAAACATAGCGAACTAAACAGTATAATCATTTGTAAACAGTAATGTAAATAGTAATTTCTCACATTATAGATGCTATTTGCCGTACACACTAGGTGATGAAAATATGGCGTTCATTTAAAAAATCTTACAATACTGTTGAAGTACTTATTTTCGAATACTTAAAAAAAAGATGTACTTGATATTTTAGATGGCTTATCTTATGAAAATGGAATTTGTAGCCTGAAGGGAGCAGCAGCTTAATGTTCCCACCAAGACGGAATGGTGGTTCCTTGGTATCTGTTTCCATTCGCCAATCCATAGACCTCTAATAAGGAAGACTTGCAGGCATCTTTTTAATTTGAGGATACATAAAACAAAAATTGGAATGATTGTAACTGAATATGGTTTAGTGCTCATACGAAGGCGTAATCTTTAGGGATAATAGCAGTCTGCTCAGTTGCATCCTGGAGAACTTTGGGATATGCTGAATGGGATTTTGCATAATGGCTTTTTCTTTCCTTAAAAAGTTTAGAATGCATTTTAGAAGATGTGCAGAAATTGTTATTAAGGAAATAATAGGATTTCTGTATCATTTACTTTGTGTTGGAAGTAGAGTGCATTGCAGTAATTTTTCTCTTACCTCTTTGAAAGATTGATGAATGTGGAGATGAGAGATTATTCTGCTTTTCCATAGGCACTTTTATGAAGTGTTTAACAGGAGTGTTGTCTCGTGTGCCTTTAAATGTATACACAAGTCTACTGAGAGATGACCAGTATTTTAAGATGGTGGTGCTCCTTCCAGGCTAGGCAAAGTTGCATGTAGAAAATAGCCCTGACTAAAGAAAATGCCTGTCCTGGCTGGACTATATACCTGTAAAGGCATCTTGGGTGTGCTTCTGGAGACAAGCCATCTCCTGAAATAATAGGTAGAGGCTGAGGCCACATTTGGCTAATGTACTCCTAGCCTTCTTTTCTGGAAAACAGTCTTTGACAGGGTTCTGCATGCTTATAAATTCTTGGTTCTTCCACTGTAGTGGGCTGTATGTGAGGCTGCTTTTGGAGACAGCTTGGAAACCAATTTGCTCATAATGCAGTCATATTGGTTTTGAGGTATTAGCTAGTGGAAGCATAGAACTGTGTAAGAGTTCCATTGATTGTGGTTGTCAGGATGGTAGGTGTTACCTATAAAGCCTAGTAAGGATATCTGAGAGAACATGTTCTCCCATATGTGGCTCCCTGTACATTGCAGTCGTCGTGATTGTGTTGTGAGGGCTGCTACTTATTAGTGGCAAGAGGTGTGAATAGTAAAATGCACTAGTTAATAGTAGCCCTGGATTTATAGTAATCCCAGTTACTGAAGTCTGTCAAATGAAAAGAGATCTTTTAATTTTTAGGCTTGTTGCTTGTGGTATAGGTTGACCTTCTGTGCTAGGCTATTGTGCTGTTATGAAGCTTATTTTCTGTTTTGAAAATCTCTTACATTGAAAGTGTTGCAAATACTGTAAAATCTACCTATTGCTGAAATGTTATAAAATTGTTGAATTCTTAGCAATGGCCATTGGAAGAGAGCACATGGCACATTCATTTTTTGAGGCATACAGTTAGCATAGGCTGCATTGCATAGAGCATCCAATCTTTTCAACTGTGTGTTCAAGAAACTGTTTTTAGGAGTGTGGGTGGAGACACAACCCACTTGATTGATTTTTATATAAACTGGATGGGATGACATTGTTATGTTACTCAATTTAGAAGGTTGTGATGGTGTAATTTCACCCTCTCAATCTGTGAGAGAGGGAGTGCTTCCCCTCCCCAGTGAGCTATCAATATGTACCGTGTCTATGTGTACAGCATGCATGTTTCAATATAGGTGGCAGTTAAGTTGTTTTATATTTTATTAAAGTTAGTACAAAACATTTCTATTTGTATCTTTATTGGCAGAATACTCAAACAACCATTAAACTTTTCCAAGAATGTTGTCCTCATTCTTCTGACAGAGTGGTGCTAATTGGTGGAAAGCCTGATAGAGTTGTGGAATGCATCAAAATAATACTGGATCTTATATCAGAGGTAAATCAGTCTAGAGCCTATAGAGGTAGCATCAAAAGGGTGCTAGGGTAAATTATGAAAGTATGCTGTGCTTGTTACAGCAGTGTTTCAAATATGAATTTAAGGGAAGTGTGCCTACATGGTGTTTGTAATACAGTTTATTACTAGAAAAAAGTTAGTTCTTTAAACTCAATGCTTTATATTTTTGAAATAGGTTTATCTGGTAGTTATTCTTTTTTGTTTTTCATATTAGTCACCAATCAAAGGACGTGCACAGCCTTATGATCCAAATTTCTATGATGAAACATATGACTACGGTGGATTTACGATGATGTTTGATGACAGAAGGGGCCGCCCTGTAGGCTTTCCAATGCGTGGCAGAGGTGGCTTTGACCGAATGCCTCCAGGTCGTGGTCGTCCCATGCCTCCAAGAAGAGATTATGATGATATGAGTCCTCGCAGAGGACCTCCTCCTCCTCCTCCAGGCCGTGGCGGTAGAGGTGGCAGCAGAGCTCGCAATCTTCCTCTTCCTCCTCCTCCTCCTCCCAGAGGCGGGTAAGTTAATTTTATACATGATTCTGAATCATTTCCTTCGTGATGAGAACTATAGTAGTTTATAAGTAGAACTGCAGTTTTTGTGAAATTAAATACGAGTAGGAGGGACAGTAAACAGAACATTCAATCAGTAATAGGAGTTGCCAATAACTGCATATTCCACATCACTGAATAAGTTTGCTTAAATATCTGGCAACCGTGAACCTGGGAATTGGAACATTTCCGTTTAAATGTGAATAAGATCCAACATGGAAAAAATTGGACCATTATGTAAGCAAATACTCAGTCTTTCATTTGTATCCTTAGGGACCTCATGTCTTACGATCGAAGAGGCAGACCTGGTGATCGCTATGATGGAATGGTATGATTTGTAATTTTTCTCTTCAATAAAGTGGGGAGTGATTCTTTTTCAGATGTCTGCGAAGCTTCTATATGGAAAACAGCTATATGTATGTGGTTGGGATGGGTACAAACTGAACTGTGAAGGAAGATTTGTTTGGAATTTTGCCCTGTTTGTGGTTTGTGAACAGACCTGTCATGAATTTCCACAAACATTTAAAGCAGTTCATGGAAAGAGGGTTTGTGGGGCTGCGAACCAGCCTGCTGTCCCGCTCATCTTCTCATACTCAGGGCAGCTAAAAAAATAAGGAACTTTTTAAAATTTTACATATTGGATTATTATAGCTGAAAGTACTGTAATCCTCAGTATGGTACTTACTATATATGTGGGTGACCGATGCAGTTTGAGCCTGGTAACACGAATCAATTTGCTGCATGTGGAAGAAATCCCTTAATCATGAACTGGTCTGCGGATTGCAACACATGCATTGTGTTAATGTATTGACACCATTTCTGTTGATTCTTGAAGTGTAAAAAGAGACAAGGTTGCAAGCAGCCGGCTCAAGTGTCTTTTGGGGAATCCCATGAAGATAAGACTGCCTTTACAGGAGTATAGTTTTTATTAGAGATACTATTTCCAAACATTGACCTGGCCAATTGTCTTTGTGGAGGAGTAAATTAAGGGGAGATACAGCTTTTGTCAAATCAAAGATTTCTGAGGAATTAGAAGCACCATTGTACTTGCTATCCATGCAAAGCAACATACAATTATCTTCATCAGATGTGCTGGCCCCTCTAAATCTAGCTGTGGTAGAGGGATGCGTATAAAAATGATATACCTCTTTAAAAATGGCAACATATGCTAGTAAAATCCTGTTTAAAAGAAAAAAATCTAAGGGAATTTTTAATTTCCCATTTCAGCTTCTGACTTGTTCTTTAACAGCAATATGCAACTTTACTGCAACTAATGCTTTTGATCTTAACTGTTTTAGAATTCGTTATGCCTTTTGTGGTGTCGATCATTAACAGTTTCTCCTATTGATACAGAAATTAAACTTTTAAAATTGTACACAGAGGCAAACTATTTTGAAATATGAGTGTGCTTTTTAAATTAAAGTTACCTGTTCACACTTTTATTTTGCATTTCTCTTGAATTTTGCTGAGAAATATTGCTGCATAAGTTGTGGAGTGGGGAATGCTTATATCTGAGTTTTAACTGCCAATTGGTAGGAGCCGTAACATTGTATAGATGATTTTCCAATACATGCTGTATTGAGTGATGAGCATAATGTGTTAATTCGGTTGCAGCATGTAGCAGGAATTGCCACACAGCTTCCTACAAGTATTCTATCGGTATTTACAGCCTCTATGACCAGTGTCTTGCTGTAAGAGTCTGGATCAGTTGCCTGCTCCATGATACTAGCAGCATGGCAGGAGTTACAGTGTATGTGCATGGCAGTTCATGGGCAGAATCCAGAGAAAGTTTTTAATTTGAAGTTTCACTGACTTTAAAGTAAAGTCTCTTTAACTACAAGGTGCTTATTTGCAGTCTTTAATAATCTACAGCAAAGTTTATGACTTTTGGGAAAATCCTAGTTTTAAACAGGGTGTTAGTAATTGCTTTTTTACAAGGGAAAAATATTGGAACTATATAGTATTTATTGACATTTTGTGGTTGAGTAAATAAGTTGCTTGGTTGTTTAGCATTATGGATTAGCTAAACAAATCTTATTTGAAAACTAGGTTTTTATTTTTAGTTGGAAAACTAAGTCCTTATGTTGACATTGATTTGAACAAAAAAAAGCATTGTGCTGTTCCAGATAGGTCTTGGTATCAAATGAACATACTGGAGTACAACTCTAGCATCTGAACAAATTTAGAGTCCAGTGGTTTATTCAAGGTATGAGCTTTTATGTGCATGCACACTTTTTCAATTATTTTCCAAAGGTATTTCAAAGGTATTTGAAAAAGTATCCATGCACATGAGAGAGCTCATAGCTTGAATAAGCCTTTGTTGATCTTAAAGGTGCCACTGGACTCTAAATTTGTTCTACTGCTTCAGACCAACACAGCTGACCACCTGGAACTCTAGGATCTGTTTTTACTACCATGGTCTTTGGTATGAATAAAGTTGGAAGACCATTTTCAATTCATGGGCATGGTGAGAAAGTTTATGTAGATGGTGAAGAGCAATGCTCCCTCTAAGTCATGGAGTCTTGTGAGCAAAAATTCTACTTTGTGAGCTACTAGCATTAAAGTTGTGCGTGAGCAGTTTGGCTGCTTCATGAATTAGTTTGCTCTGGAGCCATCCTTCCTGAGCCAAGACAAAAATGTGTGAGCTAAAGGCTAAAAAACTGTGAGCTAGCTCACACTAACTCAGCTTAGAGAGGGAACACTGGTGAAGAGTGAAGCTGCTGCTTATAGTCTTTTATTTTATTTAAGTAGAATACATTTAGATCTGTACTGCTTTGGGTATGAAGGATGTACATACACTTACTCTGCCACTTTTCAAAATATCTGATCAGGGGCTTAACTTTTGGTTTGTGTGTCTTTAAATTGGGCCCCATATTAATATAGTCTGCCTCTTTTTATCTGATCTAATGCAGTGGATCTCTTAGTAGGCCCTTTCATGTACCTTTAATCTTGTTGTGCATAAACAGCTTTACTGGGCTAGCTGTGGGTCTACTTAAAGACACTGGCTTGTTTCAAATATACTTTCTTGTGTTCCTGTTTCTCTTTGTACCATGTCTCGTCTGAAAAGATGATGCAGTGTCACGTCAATGCCTGTGATGACATAGAAACACCAGAAATGGTGAGTTCATTTTTAATCTTTTTGGTCTCTGTGTTGCTGCTTTTGAAGAGTGTGTTTGTGACTATTAAAATGCGTACTGCTGTGTATGCAAATTCTTGATGGAAGCTGGATGGGTTGGTAAATGTTTGGATGTGCTGATGTTGGGGATATAGTCAGAATGGGTGTTTGATGCTGGCTTTTGAGCAAACTGGCCTTACTTGTACTTGCACACAATTTTTTGCTGCACCTTATAATGTTCTGGCAAGCTATATTGGTTTGGATCCTGCCAATTCTCTCAATGTCCATTCCTTTTTACAGTCCCTGTCCCATACGGCCTTTGTCCATGGTGGCCACAATGGCCAGCATAATAGCCTTTTGAAAGGTCAAAGGAGACTGCTTCATTCCTTTTCCCCTAGTGGAAAACCTGGTTGGATCCAGTCCATTGGTATTACATGAAGTGTAAAGAGAGAAAGGAATTGTTATCTACAGAATTGCCTGGCTTGAGTGAAACTTTAGTTCAAAAGGCATTCCTTTTTAGTCTCTGTCCTGTAGTGATTACAATGTCAGAATAAAACCAGAGGTACCTAGGGTTCAGAATGTGCAGAGAAGTCCAGTGTTTTGAGAGCAAATCCAGTTAATATAGTGCACCATATGAACGTCATTATTGAAATGCTGAACTCTATTAGAATTGAAATAGTCTTGAGTTGCTCTTATATAAATCAAGCTGCTGATTCCATTGTTTATTATTTAAAGCATTTTTATGCTGCATTTCCTTCCAGTTTAGGGTCCCCAAGGTGGTGAATAATCAGAAACATTAAAACAAGCTTTAAAATACATTGTATAAAAACAAAGCACACAGTTAACCAAAATATATGCACACACAGTTAATAGGGCTTCACCTGTTGGCGAAAGACAATTATAGAGGAGAACAGAAGAGGGAATTCCATCATTTTGGTGCCACATTGTGTGCCCACTTGGAGGCTTATATATATTGCTGTTCAAAGTTCTTGCTAGGAGGGGCTTGATCATGGCATTAGAGTTCTGTATTGCACATATATACACACACAACACTACTTTATTTAACACATGGAGACTCAATGGAAAAGTACCTCCATCTAGTTAGTGGTAAATTTGTGGTGGCTTTTCCATGCATGCCTTTCTAGGAAGGGAGCTCTGCAGCACTAGGGATTTTATGAAAAGGTCTTGCCTCTATGATGTGTTCCAGCTTTGTCTGGCTTCTGGAGCAAGGCTTTCCCTTGAGATGCCAAATACCTGAAATTCTTTCTGCCATAAAATAGTATCTGAAATGATTTTGTGCATATTTTAGTAGAAAGTGATGACATAAAACTATTTTTCCCCTTTTTCAACAGTTTGAAGGTGGATCAGGATATGGTAAGTTTATGTGCATGTGTATTGTGCATAATTTACTCTTCATTCATGACAAGAACCAGATACATACGTTTTAAATTAGACTATTCTTATGCAGGGGGCCGTGGATCTTACGGTGATCTTGGTGGACCCATCATTACAACACAAGTAACAATACCCAAAGATGTAAGTATATTTATTCCTTTCATCCAATATACTTTGCAGTGGGGAGCCAGTTTGGTGTAGTGGTTAAGAGCGGCGGACTCTGATCTGGAGAATTGGGTTGGATTCCCCACTCCTCCACATGAAGCCAGCTGGGTGACTTTGGGCCAGTCAGTTCTTTCAGAGCTTTCTCAGCCCCCCAAAACAAGTTAGCTTGCTGCTAGCACAACACTAAGAACTAGAACTTGAAGCTGCCAGACAATCCTATGATATCCTGGCTATTCTACATACAATGCCATATGAAAATTATAATTATTATTACTTTGCAGTAAAACTTCAGGCACATAATTTTTCCATCTCATGCTGTATGTGGCCTTTCAGATTTATTATTGCTGTCTCTTGATATACTTGGCTTATGTTGTCCTGGGTATAAAAAGAATGCATTAAAATGATGTATAATAACTTGAAATAGATCACAGTGATGTTATTTGTGCCCAAAGCAATCATGTTTAGAGTATTGAATTCACTAGCTGCCACTAAAATGGTACCATTTCTTCTTTGTAGTTGGCTGGCTCTATCATTGGGAAAGGAGGTCAGAGGATCAAACAGATACGTCATGAATCAGGAGCATCAATCAAAATTGATGAACCCTTAGAGGGTTCAGAAGATCGGATTATAACTATTACAGGCACGCAGGATCAGATTCAGAATGCACAGTATTTACTGCAAAACAGGCAAGTTGGCATTCAGCTTCATCTGTGAACTATATATGTAGATTGATTACTAAACTTTGTATATAAACCTTAAAGAGAACATATAAAATAATTTTTAGTAGTTGTTACTAATTTCTGCACTTGGTAGTATGCCTTCCTCTTCTGTTTTCCATTCTTACTCAATGAAGATAGCCTCAAAACTAATCTTGCTGGAAGTGACCTTAACCAAGCAGTCCTAATTTCTCTGGTGGAAACTGCTGCAAAAAATCTACTTGTAATCTGTTACATAGAGCCTGTAGAAAATGTAGAAGATTTCAGTGGATGTTGGTCTAGTTCTGTGTGGAAGACTAGTGATTTTGTTGTTTTTAGATAACTAAATCGACAACAAATCGCAGTCTACCATATGGCACAGACCATGCCTCTACAGGACGTTGAAAACTATTGGTGCTGTTAATGCAGCATTTCACACCTCACTGGCAATTGCTTCCTTTTCTGCCATGTATAACAGCTTTAGATATTACTTGCTTTGTTTTCTTTAACATTGGCTGTCTGATGATCATCTTGCAATGTATAACTTTGTCTGCAAATTACTACTAATTATAAATTGTCAAACTTTAACCATTATGTATTAAGTCTAATTTGTATTAATCTTTTAAATGTATTTATAAATATTGATTCAAATTGTTTGTTCAACCATTCTAATACATGCCTTTTTTTTTTCTTTTTCCTTATAGTGTGAAGCAGTATGCAGATGTTGAAGGATTCTAATGCAAGATATTTTTTCTTTTTTATAGTGTGAAGCAGTATTCTGGAAAGTTTTTCTAAGACTAGTGAAGAACTGAAGGAGTCCTGCATCTTTTTTTTTTCTTAAATCTGCTTCTGTTTAAAAAGCCAACATTCCTCTGCTTCATAGGTGTTCTGCATTTGAGGTGTAGTGATATTTTTGCTGTCACCAGATGTAATGTTTTAGTTCTTCATAAATAGGTGGGAGGGAGGGGGGTGGCTTGCGAAACTAACATTGGTATTTTGAAACAGCAGCAGAGAAAGTGGATTTTATTTTTGTTCTATGTTGGTTGTAAACTGTAATGTTTTTTTCCCCTGTAACTTGTGAACCACCTGCTTTATACTTTTTCATTTTGAAGTGGGGAAGGGTTCTAGTAGACCACTTTACTCCTGGAATCCATGCAGAGCAGTGTGCAGAATGTAATGCTCTTTTGTAAGTTGTTTCATGATTTTAAAAATAAATTTAGTGAACCAATTCTTGCAGTTATTTCTTTATATATATTTAACCATTACACCATTTATCGAGCTTGGCTTTTTTCTATACCATGGAAGCAGAACACCCAGTTTCAGTGTTTTGGCTAATTAGGATTATTGATAGTGCATTGACTCCAAAGTTTGGTATATGTGAGGAAACTAAACAATATTAGAAAACCGTTTTAGCTTTGTTACTTCAGGCGTATGCCCTCATTGTATTGCAACATGTTAGTTTGACTCAATAAAATCTTGCAAAGCTTTGGTTTGTCATGGAATAGCGAGTACTGTAGAGAATACCTGAAGCTTAGTCATTTCCAGCCTTGGCAATTCTGCCCATATCTGACTGTAACTTGTTAAATATGTTTCCATTGTATAAAGACTTGAATGAAACAATTGTATTTCTTTCCTGTTTGTTGATTTGCATAGGAAACACTTGTGCAAAATCAAAAGAATTTCTGGATGTTTTCATGTAAAAAATCTCAGCATTTGTTCTGATAGTTTACAAGTTATTTTTCTTGAATAAATGTTATATCAACACCCAGCTGGATGTGACAGGTCCAGTTTTCAACCGTTGGATATGTTCTGATCTTTAAACGTTTTCTTCGTTTCCAATAAATGACAAGTAGAAGGCAGGCCACCATCCACTATTGTTTATCCCTAATTACAAAATGCTGCTTAGGAGCTATACAAAAAGATCCTTCCATCTGAAAGTGCTAAGTGTTCTGGAGTGTGCTGTAGCATTCAGTAGCCTTCCAGCTTACACAGAGTTCAGTAGATCTGGAGCAAAAATAGTGCATACCACAGCAATGTTATGGAAGCTAATATAGCCACACTGGAAGTATGCTGCATTTGCCTGTTGCACAACTAATCTTTATTCTGCTTTCTGATGCTCTGAAGCATCATGGGAACTTGGGATGATTTTAAAAGCCAGTACTTGGGAGTGTAAGAACTGCAGGTATAGCATGCAGTTTCCCAAAATTATTTTAGAGATTGGGGATGATGTGTTGTGGTCTGGGTGTGTGTCTCATCCTTGCACAGCAGGACATGATATCACACCATCTATAGTGCTGTTCCACTATGAATAGGTGCTGCTCCAGCGGATGTGAGGCACCATGTAGTTTTTTAAGCTTGCCTCTGCATAAGGTGATGAGAATTTAACTACAGTGCATTGTTTAGAGTTTAGTCTGAAATGGCTTTTTGTATGATAAGCTTCAGAATGGGTTGCCTCGATCTGTGAAAAGACTGACCAATGTAGCTGAGGCTATAGCACAAATTAAAAAGTATTTTTACTGTTTTGAAGAATTCTTGCTTTTGTTATGCACGTGTCCGTCGTCCTCGTCTTCCCCCCCCCCCCAATTTTTAGAATGGATCTTCAGATACAAGAGCTTTAACTGTAAAGCGTGCAAATGTTCCCCCTGTGTGGCTGACCAATTTTTTGGCAAACACACCACTGTTAAGATTTTCAGGAAATCGGTTTTTGTAATTCACGACCATAAAAATAACGTTTCCGCGGTTTTTCGTTGGCCAAAGCATCTTCCTCAGAGGCAGACCCCTTTCGAAGGTTTTCCGTTTCAGGGAGAGTAAAAAAAATAGTATGAACGATCAGTCTTCACCCTCTTGGCATTCATTCTTGAGTACGCTATTGCAGGAAGGGGCAGTCCTTATTGCAAGAGCAACAGTTTCAATCGCAAAGATGCCGCTTTAAGAAAATTGCGTTTGGCATTAGAACCTCTTGTCCAAAAAAAAGTCTTGCAATATTGGGTAAGAAGAGATGCGTTTTACTTCTTAAGTACAAGAAAGAAAAATGTGCGATACCTCGATCTCGAGGCGGCCTCCAGTTAATGTTCGTCTTCCGAGTCACGGACTCACTTATGCAAATATGGCTAATCCTGATTGGTGAACGAAGGCGCGATGGTTAGGTGAAGGTGGAAAGGGCGGGGAGTCGCTTCGCTTGTTGGTAGCGTGTTCTGTAATCGGGTGCTCATTGAGAGGCCGCGTTAATATAGTCCGATATCTACGAAGGTAAGAGAGTTGATCCCTTGTAGAAGCTGTATATTTGTTGATTAAGGAACTAAGGTGTAGCGCGATATAGCAGAAATCGAGGCGCACATTTTCTCGAGGCATAAGAGAACTGATAAGCAGGCCTCGACTGCCCACGTGGATTGAGAAAGGGGAGAACGGAGCTTTTGACTTCATTTTCTGTGCTGTCCAGCGTCACAAGGAAACCTTGTCAGTAATTAACTAAATACGGACTGGTGCAGCATCACAACGCCTCTGGCATGCACAGCACTATAGTGTGGAATGTGGCTGAGTAGTACTGCGTGAATTTGAAATACAGCCCCTAAATTTGGTGACGTTTGTCGGACTTCGGGAAGCAAAGGAATCTATCGCTTTCTATTCCTGGCTGCGCGCGCTCGCTCGCGCTCGCTCTCTCTCTCCCCGTGTGTGTGTGTGTGGCTGCTCAGTGTGTGTGTGTGTGTGTATGGACGCGCGCATGCGCGTTTGTTTTTACAGCGACCCTATGAATTAGTGACCTCTAAAACATCCTATCATGAACAGCCTTGCATAGGTCTTGCAAACTAAGGGCCGTGGGTTCTTTTATTGAGTCCTGGCTGCTATTTGGCTAACTTATAATATCCATCTCTGATCAGTTCTCTAAAAATAGGATACAATGGAGCCTGTTATGTAGTGGGATACCTTGCCTGCTTTATGATCTCTCCGATTCCATCCTTCTCTGCCATAAAGGTGTCGTCCCTACACTGTGAAGTGTGTAGATCGATGCCAGAGTGACTCGAGATCCTGTTCAGTCTCCTCCCAAAGCACCACCTGTTAACGGATCTAGAAATGAGTCCCCTACCTTTTGTTGTCAAAATGAGCTCCCACAAATCAAGAGATAAATGGCTCAGTTCTCTCTAAGTATGATTAAGGCAAAACTGTTAAGGCGGCATTCACTCTGTTCTGAGGGAGATTAGCGGGAAAGGTAGAGTCTCCAAAAGGTGGTAGTTTTGAACACCAGCACAGTCAGTCAAGCCCATCTGTGGGGAGTGGTAACACCTCTCTGAGCAACTGATTGCAACTTTTCTGGAAAACTAATTTGTTGCTGTTGACTGTCCATGCCAGGGATTAGTGCACTTAACTAGATCCAGTTGGTCAGCCGTGTTGGTCTGAAGCAATAGAACAAATTTAGAGTCCAGTGGCACCTTTAAGACCAACAAAGGTTTAGTCAAGGTATGAGCTTTCATGTGCATGCACACGAATCCTCATACAATAAAAATTAAAATGATGGGAAGGATACATTAATTGTAATGGTGAATCACTGAAATATATTTTTTGTGTTTCTGGGCATTGTGTAAGTTTTATTATGTTTGGGCTGGTGTAATACTTACATGTTCTATTTATACAGAAAAATAAAGATATAAAATTAGAGAAATTTTGACGCTATGGGGGGGGGATTTCTGAATGTTTTATGCGGAAAATTTGAAATATATACATTACTTATTTTCCTATCAAACCTTAACTTGGTTTCCTGCTTTAACAGCATAAACTGTGTGAACTTTAACTTAGAATTACTCTTTGGCATTTTTATAGAATTTAGAAGTATAAACGCTTTGCTTTTAATAAGTGAATTTGTAAATATACCTAACACTAGCTAGAGAAAGTTGCAAACTGCTGTATCCTATGTTACTTTGGCATGTGTGTCAGTTTTTGTTGTCTTGGAAGAAAAAAAATAAAAATTGAAAAATATTTAAACAACAGAGCATATTGTCCGGGCAGAAATCATCTGATATAGTTACAAAAGGGCTACCAACATATTTGGATATTTAGTTAAGTGTCATAACATTGAAACCCCTGTTTCATGTTACCATGCACATGAAATCATTAATTTTGACAAAATTGTCTCTAATTAGACATCCTTGAAAGTATGTGTATATGTAATCATTTTCCGGTTCTATAGATTGTCTTATAAAAATATGCACTACACACTTTGAATGAATAAATACTTATATTAGAAAGCATTTAACTCTTTCAAAAAGAAAAAAAAATCATAGGATTTTTTTTCAGTGTTCCCCAAAATTTACAAAAATGCTGAAGGAGGGGTGTGTGTCTGAATCTTTCCAGGGTTCCCCACCACCCTTGGTCTCCACATCTCTAGTGAAGACTTATTTTTTTTACTCAGGATTAAAAGGATGAACATGGAAGCATTCCTGAACCCTAAAGATTCTGCCAAGTTTATAATGGAGAACAGCCAAGACGTATACGTGAAAGAAGATGGTGGGCGGAAAGTTGCAGAGATGTTGTTTGATAAAGTCTTGGAAAAGGACTTCAGTGTTGCTGGATGGAAGTCTTCTCATGAACTGAATCCTCAAGTAGTGAGTGAAGATGCAGTGAACTGGGTTTTCCTTGTAGATACACTCAATTTCTCATTTTGGTCTGAGTGTGAAGATCATAAATGCCTGGTGAAATATAAAGGCAAAATGTACAGTGGTTACTGGTCTCTTTGTGCTGCTGTCAACCGAGCACTTGATGAAGGTTAGTTCCTAATTTTAAAAATTAAATAAGAGTCAGTAAGACAGTTATTTAGATTTAGGTAAGAATTCCTGAATGCAAAGTAATATTTTGCTAAGTTAGCATCATTCAAGTTGTTTACAGCTATGTCAGTCCCAAACTAAATCCAAAAAGCCTAGAATGCAACCTATGTAATGCCTAATAATTATAAAATTTATTATGTGGATTGTGTTCTTAACATCAGTCATCTTCAAGTGTCGGTTTAGATTATGCCATCACTGTACTGAATGTATACTGTGCAGAGTCTTACCACTGCTTTGGGGCCAGGGTACTGGAAAACAATAACAAAAAGGGGTTGTTGTCAGTAGGCCCCTCCAGTGGAAACCAAAGCCTGAAGGCAGCTGGGCTGAGCGGCTGGCCCCTGTTGCAGGTACTGTCTGTTTTCAATATTGTACCTTGTTCTTAAATAATTTGGAATCTCTAGATCATTTTCCTTTAAGCTAAAGGCAGAGAACACATGGGGAGTAGGTTTAGAGTTTGGGTTTCAGTCCTCACCTTTGCCTTGTTATTCAGTTTGTAGCCCCAGGTAGGTTGCTTGCATCTATGTGATCCAAAATCTTGTAGGATATGTTATGCCTGTTTATGCTGGCAAGGCAAAAGAATTCACCCTGCAGACCTTCATGTGCCAAGCAGCTGAGTGTGCTTAGTATACCACCACAATACAAAAGTCCCTAGCTCCTTAAGTAACAATGCAGTCCTAAGAATACTTCCCTGGAGTAAGCCCCATTGAATAGACCTGAATGGGATTTCTCTTAGTGCATGTAGCTGTTTTGCATGAGTTAAACAGCATTTCATTTATACAATACGTATTTCATTAATACAATAAAAATTACATTTTTAAAACATCAGCATATATATTAAAATGGTGGTCACAACCTGATAACTGCAACATCCTTGGTATGAATTCTTTTGCCTTGCCAGCAAGTTATGCTCACAGGGGCGGCAACATTTTCATTGTTTGTTCCTGATATCTGATGTTTGGTATACAGTCTGCACATGGAATTCCATCCAATAGGAGGGGTCCAAGTGGAGAAGCTGAGGGAGAGCCAGTATGGCAGAGGGTTTGGGGAGCAGTAGAGCTTAGAGAAACTGTGGAAGTGGCTTAGCAAGGAGGATAACGCTTGTAGTATCCCCACTTCTTGAAGGTGGCATCTCCTTCTACCCCACCCCTCCAAATGTAAGCAGTATTTTTGTTGGCAGGCATGAGCTGATTTGGTCATTACCCGTACCAGAGCTGTTGTGTTTTCAGGAAGGGTTCTAAAGAACTGAGTGAAATTCAGGTGACGAGAGGTGATGTTTAGAACTGCTAGGCAAACTGAGAATGAACAAGTCTCCAAGTCCAGATGGCACACACCCAATGGTTTTTAAGGGGTTCTAGTGATTCCTTTAAAAGGAGAATCAGCAAAAGGCCAAGACAGACATGCCCAGGCTCTCTCTGCTAGGCTGTGGAGAGTCCCATTTCGGGAGACAAGGGATGCAGCATGGGTTTAGTACCTTCCTCTCCCTAGTCCTGAGGCCACAAAGATCTTCATACAAAGAACAGTGGAAGGCATCTGGGTTCAGGGGCCCATCCCCATAGCCCCAGCTTTTGTAAGGTACCTCATCATAGATTCCAGAGTAAGTTCAGCTGTCATGGGATAAGGGAACAGGTCTTTTTGGGAAATAGTTTTGGGAACAGACAAAAGGAAATACTTTACTCACTGAGTAATCAGGGGTCATTTGGGAGGGGACGCGGGGGGACGCCATCCCCCCGGGTGAGGTGCAGGAGGGCAGGGCCTGGAGCTCCCTGCTGGTGCCCGCTGGAGGTCGCCGCCAGCTGTGGGGAAGACACACTTCCGGTGATGTCAGGGGGTGTGGCATATGCTAATGAGTTATGCTAATGAGTCCCCCTAGCTCTTTTTCTACGAAATGACCCCTGTGAGTAATTAAACTCTGGATTTCACTGCCAGTGGAGGGATGGCCATGAGCTTTTAAAGGACATTAGACAGATTTATTGGGGGGGGGGAGCATTGGCTACTAGTTATGGTGACTGAAGAGAGCCTCCATATCCAGAGGCAGCAAATGTCTGAATACCAGTGCTGGGAAGCAGCAGAAAGGGAAGGCCTTGGCATCTAATGCCCTATTTGCTCTCAAGGGCAATTGGTTGGCTGCTGTGTGAAATGGGATGCTGGTCTATTTGGACAACCGGTCTGATGCAGCAGGGCTCTTCTTATGTTAATATGATCTTGTATATTATTGCATTATGCCTCTTTGTATCCATTGCTATGAAGCCACAGGTGTTGAAGTTATCCTGCTGGTTGGCCACTGTGTGAACAAAATGCTGGATTTGAAAAGCCTTTGGTCTGATCCAGTATGACTGTTCTTATTATGTTTTTTTAATTTAATTTTACTTTCTGAAGGAATACCCATTACTAGCGCTTCGTATTACACTACTATGACATTGGAGCAGGTGAGGCATGTGTTTCGCTCAGACACCGATGTCCCCATGCCTTTGCTTGAGGAAAGGCATCATGTGCTACATGAGACCGGGACAGTTCTTCTGGAGAAATTTGGAGGCTCTTTCCTCACATGTGTTAAGCAAAGTGGAAAAAGTGCTAAAAAATTACTACAACTCATTGTGGAAAATTTCCCATCATTTAGGGATGAGGCTACATTTCAGGTAAGTAAATAGTAAATGCTGGCAATAAATAAAGTTAGGGCCTAAAAGGCCTCTCCCTTACTGTTTTGTTAAGCTGTTCCTGGGAGATGTGAAGAAGAAAAAGGATATGAGACACTTGAGGCCTGAGGGAATTACAGGTGGGTTGAGAGTTTTGGGATGCACATCTGGCAGGAGTGGGCAACCCAGAGAATCTCCACAAGAACCTAGAGCAAAGTTTTCAAAAAGTCAGGCAAACCATGGCTGGGAGCTACTTCCCTGCATTTGTTTTCTGTCTTCTCAGCACCATGTCTCTGTGTAGTGGCTTCAGGAAATAGAGCAACAGTTCTAAAATGGGCCATGAATTCGAACATTACACCAAGCCATCATTAACATAAACCATGATTTGCAAAGCCACTTCAAACCATAGATTCTGGTTCCATTTTTTCCTAGCATTTTGTCAATTTGAACATGATGCCAAACTATAAAGTTCTCAACATTGTTTTGGCATGATGCTTGCATTTATGAGTAAAAAATCTTATGTAAGACCTATGGAAAATGGTAAACACTCACTAAACATGCAACATTTCATCAATAATACTCTCTGTCATTCTTGAAATTTTGAACTTGAGACTTGTCATGATAGTTCAAGATTCTCATGGTGGTACACATACACTCTTGTGACTAATTTGAATAATTTATTATAATTGCAGAATGTAGTTTTTTATTGTTAAATTTTGGATTGCAGTATTTCAGGACTTCAGAGGTTGATTAATAAAAACAAGCCTGTATCAGGAAGAGTGAGGGTGAGCTTACATCACTGCAGCACTGACAGTTCTCTGCATGTTAAGTTGCATTTGCTGTTTCCAATGACGTTTTTATAGATCCTTGATTGTACATCATTCTTTTCTGTTATATTTCACATATTGCACAGATGTGCTTATATCATTAGCCAGCAAGGCTGATAAAATGTTAAAAGTTCCTAGGAGTCATCATCAGATTTTCTTAGGTGAAAACGGATTTCCACAAAGCTGGAACCATTTCCAAGTAGAGATATAAAATCTTTAAAGAACTCAGGAGACAAAGCTGCTGGGATATTTCAGAAATTTCAAACAGAGAAACAGTTGTACAACAGTGTGCACTTTTTGAAGAAGAATTGGATTTATATCCTGCCCTTCACTCAGAGTCTAAGAGCGGCTTACAATCTCCTTCCCTTCATCTCCCCACAACATGCACCCTGTAAGGTAGGTGGGGCTGAGAGAGCTCTGAGAGAAGTGCTCTTGAGAGAACAGCTGAGAGAACTGTGACTGACCAAAGTCACCCAGCAGCTGCATGTGGAGGAGTGGGGAATCAGACTGAGTTCTCCAGATTAGAGTCTGCCGCTCTTAACCACTACAACTTCATAGGTTCACCATAAATTGGAAGCAACTTGACCGCAGATTTTATATAAAATGTGCCATCACGTTGCTTCCAATTTATGGTGACCCTATGAATTTATGACTTCCAAAACATCCTATCTTTAACAGTCTTGTTCAGGTCTTGCAAACTGAAGGCTGTCTTCCTTTAGTGTGTCAACCTTTATTGAGGGTACGTAAGACTACATGAGACTAATCAGGAAAGCTTAAAGAGAATGTTTTGTATTATCAAGAAACAAATTTGTCCTTGGAGTTAATATATTTGGGGTTCCATTTAAGACTTCCAAGAATTTTGTAAAAAATAAGTATGCATTTTCCATTACTACACTTTGTGTTCACTTAGTGCTGCTGATATATACACACACTATACACACACACACACACACACACATATGTATATGTAGTTAAACAGAGTTGTTAAATCCATCTCAGTGGTACAACTAATGTTTTTACTCCCATGCCTTTTTTAAAAAATCTTTATCAAATTTGCCTTTCTAATTAAAATAAAACCATTTCCAATAAATAGAAAACACATATTTTCTTGACAAAAAAACTGTTCTGGTATAACAAGAAGATATTGAAAGATTTCAAAAGCAAGTTAGAAACTGTATGTTAAAAATCAGGTCATGCACCTTTATGCAATTGGACTGTGAACTAGAATCATATTTTAGTTGCATATTCTGAAGGCAAATCAAATTTTCACCAGTTACAACAAAATGGATGCTATTGTTGGTTCACATTGTCAACACTGTTTCCCTAGCAACAGACTGAGATGTTGCAAGGCAGAGCTTTGCAGTAACAAGGAGTGAGAGATGGGATTAAAGTGATGAAAATTAATTGGATTTTTCCACTTTAAAATGCATATCCAAAACATTAAAAATATTATGAATAAAATAATTTGCTGATTCTAATCATAATAAGTTAAAGGAAGCCTCGGTGATTACAATGTGGTTGCCACATAATTATTCTTTTGGACTGTATCCCTGATATGTTGGGCATGCTCAGGGCTTAATGATCAAAATACTGCAGTGGAGCTTCAGTAGGGATGTAAATTTCGATTAATAATCAAGCAAACATTTAAACTATCGAACACTTTATTGTTTAAAACACAATCTACCTACATCACATACATCATCTTACATATCCTCAGCTCTTGTTCTGAGTTTTGTTAAGAAAAATTAACATGTTAACATTCTCTGGCACCAATTTGGCATGCAGAAAGACTAGCATTGGGAAGGCCATATTCTGCAGGCACAGATGATCCTGGAATGCCCAGGTAACCCTTTGCCAGTTTTCCAAGCCAGTATATAACTGGTAGAGAAATGCTTATAGCTTAATAGTTTAACTGCAATGAGGAGGGAAAATTTATTGTGCCAGAGCAAGGGGGAGATTTTGCCCACTTGCTCTTCTTCATCATTCCCTTCTTGCTGTATAATATTTTTAGTACAAGAGTTCCCCAATCCTGAAAAGAGTTTTGGAGTGTGTAGAGATGCTAGGGTAAGGGAAAAGTGAGCAAGAACCTGTTCTGTGAGTTTCTTCAGCTTGCATATCTGTAGGCTCTTTCTGGTGGGTATAAGAATGCACATCCTCATCCTTACTTTGGAGCAACGAGTAATAGCAAAAATCAATTTTTTACACTCTGCAAGAGCAGGGGTGGGGTGTGACAGCCTTGGAACAGCTACTCATTGCAGTGCTACTTTTGGGATTTTGATATAGCACACAAGCATTGTATTTCGGATGGTTGTAAATGTGTCAGTGGCAGCAAAGAAAAAACACTCACTCTGAAGTTTCAACTGCATTTTGTTCTGATAAACACTGCAGAAATGTGTTGCTTTAAAATAAATCCAGTTTAGCATACATCTAATTTGGCATGTCATCTATAATTTTAATAAATGACAAAAAATCACAACATGTATAGAATTGTAGACATTATTTTAAACAATTAAGTGCACACGCCTTGGCTTTTCCCCAAAAACCCTATGTAGTTTAATTTATTTATTTATTAAATTAGGCTTTTATACAGCCTTCCCCACATGCAAGCTCAGGGTGGTGAAGAAAGTTAGCATAATCAATGTGTAAAAGAATGCATAGGTGCTGTGATCAAAACTAATTGGTACACTAGGCAGAGAATAAGATCTGCTGCCACCGTTTCCCCAGTATTTTTGGTAACAGTAGTTTCCACTGTCAGAGGTTAAAGCTAAAGCTTGTTGAAACTAACCTGAAAGCATTCTGCTTTGTTTCCCCCTTCTTTATCTGTCAGGGTAAAAAGGTGGCTTTTTACAAACGGGCACAAATCCTTGTTGCTGACACATGGAGTGTATTGGAGGGAAAAGGCGATGGGTGCTTCAGTGACATTTCCAGTGTGACTATATTTGCTGATTATAGGATACCTCAGGTTCTTGTTCACCTAGGAGCCATGAAATATTCTGAAGAACTAATGAAAAAACTCAAGGAAGGTATGAAACTTTATTCAGTATAATCAAGAACTCTCTAATAATTGTATTGCCTGTTCAGTGCTTGCATGTTCCTACCTACCTTTGAGTCCTGTGATTAAATTAGTTGCTTTGATTTAGTGATAGCCAAAGTCTGACATCACATCTGAATTCACCAAAAATGATTTGTGCTTCTCCTCCAAATCAGGACTGTAGCAAAAAAAACAGCAATTGAAAAAGATAGCTGCAGTAGATTTTTTGGAGTAACTCAGTGCCAGGTCCTTTCTTCATTGTGGAGCAACCACTCATCTTTGTTTCCCATATCCCCCCCCCCCCCGTCACACACCAGTATTCAATCACCTGCAAGACAGCTCAGGGTGTGTTCTATACTTTATAGCGATAACAGGATTGTTAAGAAATGTTATGATTTTCGACGTGGTCTCTGTGCTTCACATTCATGGGATACAGTGCGCCTGTGCTGGATCGATCGGTATTGTAGCAAGCTCTAACGGATTTTCCCGCCCAGACCTCAGGCATGCGCAGGAACCCCACCACGCATGCCCAGAGGGGTGGCTGTGGACATCCCGCCAGTTCCTTTCTTTCCACCGCGCTGGAAGCACCTTTCCTTGGTCGGTGAGATAGCTATTTTTCCTCAGAGGCTCTTCGGATTTCTCTTCAGATTTTTCTTCGTTTTTGATCTTTCCTTCATCTTCAGTTTTTTCTCTTAAAAAAACCAAAAAAAACCTTTAGTTTTGAGGGGGAAGTTTTACCTCAGTCTGGCCTTCGGCCTCCCCACACACACACACACACACCTCTTTTTCTTCTCCATCTTGTTTGTTTTATGGAGAAAAGGTGGGGCTTTTTCAAACTTTGTAAGGGATGCGGCAGTAAGCTCGCTGCGCCTGATGGCCACATCCTTTGTATTTTTTGTCTTGGTGAGACGCACCGACCAGAGTCCTGTCGACACTGTGCCAAGTTTTCCAATCAAACTAGGAAGAATCGAGCAGCGCATCTCTGAGTGGCGTTACTGGAATCGGCGCTAAATCTCGCTTCTGTCGTGGATCCAGAGGTACCGGTGAGACCATCGACATTGACGGCTCCGGCGTCGAAGTCCTCGTCCGACATCGTCGAGTTGACGTCGAAGCGTCTGGCACCGATGGCGCAGTCTTTGGCGTCCACTCCCGTCAAAAAGAAGGAAGAATCTGGTAAAGAGCACAAGTCCGCCAAAAAGGGTTCCTCTAAGGCCCTAAAGGCATCAAAGTCTAAAAAACGCACGGGTCCTGCACCGGGTTATGCCCCTAAGGTGCCCCCCACTCCGACGACAGTATTGGCATCGGAGGCTCCAGTCGCTCCACCGATACTGACCATCCAGCTGATGGACTCTCCAATACACCAGCTAGACCTTGACACGCTGGCGGACATGCGTCCTTTCTCCGACATCGATAATGTGGAGATCCTCAGTCGTCCCCTGAGCACGGATCGTTCTCCCTCTGCTCAGTCATCGACATCGGCAATCTCGGAGTTTTGTACCGACATCGATGCAGGTCGGCATCAACAGATCCCTCCAAACACTCAACATCATCCTCCCCGTCTGTTTGCCGAAGATCGGCCTTTCAATATTGATGATCGGGCTGATAGGGGTCGCTCATGGAGACGAGATGCTACACTATCTCCCTGACGTTCCCGCTCTAGGAGTAGATCCCCACGAGTCTTCCTGCCCCCACCACCTCCTGCTCTTTCCTGGGATCATCGCCAACTACGTTATCTCTATGGGGCTTATCCACCTGCATCCATGCCGTGGTTGACTCTAGCAGGTTACTCTGATTGGGATCGTTACTTTGCGCATAGATCACGGTCACCCCGCAGATCGAGGCCGACACCCTCAGCGTCTCTCTCCCTTCGTCCTGATCATCCATCAGAGGACCCTTCTCGACATCGACCAGATCAGTATAGTCCTCCCAGTCCCCCTGTTCCACCGTCGACAGATCCAACCAGTCCAATTCAAACTACTCCGGCACAATTACCACTTCCCAATTCCTCTGGTAATTGTGCCGGAGCAGTTTGAATTGGACTGGTTGGAAATCACCCTGACAACAGATGCCTCTCTCTCCGGTTGGGGTGCTCACATGATGGGATTTTGCGCCGGAGGCAGATGGGACACACAGAAACGGAACCGTCACATCAATTTTCTGGAACTGCTTGCGATACGGTTCACTATCACCAGTTTCCTGCCCCTGATCCGGGGAAAGTGTGTCACAGTCCTCACGGACAATACTACTGCCCTCAGCTACGTAAACAGACAGGGGGGCACTGTCAACGTCTCTGCGAGCTCACCCACTGGTTATTTATTTATTTGTTAGATTTATACCCCGCCCTCCCCAACAAGCTCAGGGCGGCTAACAACAGAGGCAATTGCCACAACAAAACAACATAAAAACAATCATGAAACAGTATAAAACAATCATTAAGTAAAGTGCGGTGCTCTTGATGTTAAATTTTCTTAATCCAAGATGAGTTCCAATTTGTCAACCTAACCTGACAACATACACTCTTCGGTTAACTAGGCGTCTGGGACTTCTGCATCACCCACAACGTTTTCCTAGTCACCACACACATCCCGGGGCATATGAATGTGCAGGCACACCACCTAAGTCGAGCAGGTCTCAGTTTACATGAGTGGGAAGTGAATCCGACTTACCTTCTCCCACTCTTCCGCAAGTGGGGGTTCCCCCAGATAGATGTTTTCACCACCAGGGCGAACAAAAAGTGTCCTCTGTTCTGCAGCCGAGGTGGCAGGGACCCGTAGTCTTTAGGGGACAGTCTCCTCTACCCGTGGTCCAGAGAATGTCTCTTCTTCTTCCCCCTGCTGCCTCTGCTTCTGAGAGTGGTCCACAAAATCATCAGCGACAAAGCGGATTGTATACTCATATCCCCGTGGTGGCCGAGGCAACCATGGCTCTCAACCATCCTGGATCTGTCAGCGGGGTTCTACCACCAATTTCCACCGGTGCAGGACCTCTTGTTCCTAACCGAATCCCCTCCTATACCACGATGTTCCATGACTGAAGTTGACAGCCTGGAGAGTGGTATCAACAGCTTTTCCTCCCGCATAGCGAATGTGTTGCTGAATTCCAGAAAGTCCACTACACGAAAATCTTATCATTGCAAGTGGCGGAAGTTTTGTTCCTCCTTGGGTGAGGATGCCCCTCGAGCCATCTGTGTGGGTCTCGAGAAGGTTTTCAACTTCCTTCTGTCTCTTGCTGACTCGGGACTGTCACATTCCTCGTGAAGGGTTTATTTGGCCGCACTTTCGGCCTACCATGTTGAAGTTGAGGGATGCACACTGTTTTCACATCCTCTTTCTAAATGTTTTTTGAAGGGACTGTTACACCTTTATCCTCCCATCAAAAGTCCTGTCATCCCCTGGGACCTTCCCCTGGTACTTCACCAACTCACCAGGAAACCTTTTGAGCCACTCGTAACTTGCGACATGAAACTCCTGTCCTGGAAAACAGCCTTTCTGGTGGCTGTCACTTCAGCGAGGCGAGTTGGGGAAATACTGGCCTTCAGACATGATTCTCCTTACTTGTCATTTTTGCCAGATGGCGTCTGCCTTGTACCTGACATCTCGTTCTTGCCAAAGGTAGTTTCAGAATTTCACCTACAGGCAGAGGTCTTCCTCCTGGATTTCTTCCCTGCTCCGACATCCCCAGAGGAGAGGCTGTTACACACATTGGATACGAAGCGTGCGCTTCTGTTCTACCTAAACAGAACCCGTCCAACGAGACGTGACTGTCATCTGTTCGTTTCCTATGCCCCAGCAAGGCTGGGAACTCGCATCATGGTTCAGCGTTTGTCAAGGTGGATTGTAGGTCTCATCCACCTCTGCTACCTTATTGCTAAGCACCCATTGCCTGGCCCTATCAGGGCTCATTCAACTCGTGCTGTTGCAGCCTCAACTGCCTTCCTGCAGGGCTGCTACCTGGGCTTCGCCTAATACGTTCATAAGGCACTACGCCCTGGATGTCCGCAAGAACTCTTGTACCAACATGGGACGTCACATCTTATCTTCGGCTTCGCAGTAATGACCTGCCAGCACCCTCCTCCAGGTAGGCCACTGCTCGCTAATCTCCCATTGGTGTGAAGCACAGAGACCACGTTGAGGATAAACAGGTTGCTTACCTGTAACTGGTGATCTTTGAGTGGTCATCTGTGCATTCACACCACCCGCCCTCCTTCCCCGCTGCTGTCAGCGGCTATATTTTTTCATAGCGGTTGATTCGCAGCGGTTTGAAGGAACTGGCAGGATATCCGCGCCCACCCCTCTGGGCATGCGTGGTGGGGTTCCTGCGCATGCCTGAGGTCTGGGCGCAAAAATCCGTTAGAGCTTGCTACAATACCGATCGATTCAGCACAGGCGCACTGTATCCCATGGGTGTGAATGCGCAGATGACCACTCGAAGATCACCAGTTACAGGTAAGCAACCTGTTTCTTCTTAATCTCTGTAAAATGGCATGAAACACAATTGTAACTCCTAGTATGGACTTCAGGTTCTTACAGTAGCTCTGAATTCATATAGAGATGCCCATCTTTTCTTAAAGTCTGATACATACCACCAGAATTTCATTAAATTCATGGTTAGTGACAATTCTCAGAAGTGGTATTGATCAAGTGATATTAAGTAGTGTAACAAGAACTGTATTTAACATATGTGGAAAGTATGTATTTAGTATTTTGCTACACTGCGATTAAGATGAACATAAACAGATCTTATAAGAAAAGAATGATGGAGTTCTTGAGCTTGGACTCTCTTGTTAATCTTTTCACATCCCAATTGTAGCTTTTCTTGTCTATTTCAGTTTAGCAGTGTAGCCATTGATTTTCAAATTAAGCCACTGAAAATGTGTTAGATAACACAGGACCCTGATTAAAATCCAATGTGTAGGTAGTCTAAAATAAGCAGTACATACAGCATAATAGTCCCCTTGAGCCTTATTTCTGCTTCTCTAATTTGTATTAATCTCATTCATGTCTTCTGCATCCTACAGGGCACATGTTCCAGTCTGGAGACAGACAAGAGGTGGAAATTCGAGGTTGTTCTATTTGGTGTTGTGAACTCATTTGCAATCACTTACTGGACCTTTATAAAAAGAAAGGCGAGAACATGAGTGAAAAAATCAATGCAGTTCTCCTTGATTATTATCTGTGGGACTATGCTCGGGATCATAGAGAAGACATGAAAGGAATTCCCTTTCACCGTGTACGTTGTATATACTACTAATATACTATGAAGAGTACAGTTTCAAAATTATAGATACCTTTTTTCTTGTATACATATTTGAAACTTGCAAACTTTAAGCTGGGAGAATTCCCAATTTCCCCCTCTCCCTTCATTCTGGACTTTTATAAGCTATTGTAGTGTAAACATATGTCCTGTCCATTGTATCACAGGAAAGGAAGTTTACTGTAATGTTTCTAATTTTCCATACTGATAGTTTGTTTGGCTGATTACTTTGTTTCAACTTGTATTATTTCTATAGTTACTATACTAAAGTTGCTCTTAGCATTCAGGCAAGATTGTTTAATTCAGTAAAGAAATTGTGTGCAATAATACCATCTATATTTCTTAACTATGTCTCTTCATAAGTTAAGTGAGTTGCATCTGAAGTCATAAACAGTAAATGTTTAATCTGTTGTAATTAATTCTGTGTGCTTGTGTGCCTTCTTGAGTCTTTTTATGTATCTGATGAAGGTGGCCAAAGAACATTTTTGTCTTCACTGCTGTAGACTGATTCAGATATTATGATCCCTCTTAGAGGTTACTAAAAGTGCTTTCAGGTGGTCACAAATCTGGGCAGGAGTGAACGTGTGGAAACCTCAATTGTCCAGAGATGATCTGTTATTAAGGAAAGAATTAGTAGGCACACTGATGAACAAAAACTATTGAGGCAGACGCAGCATGGGTTCTGTAAGGGAAGATCTTGTCTCACTAACCTGTTAGTGTTTTTTGAGGGAGTGAACAAACATGTGGACAAGAGGGACCTAATACCGGTAGATGCTGTTTACCTTGACTTCCAGAAAGCTTTTGATAAACTTCCTCATCAAAGGCTCCTATGTAAGCTCAATAGTCTTGGGATAAAAGGACAAGTCGTCTTGTGGATCAAAAACTGGCTAATTAATAGGAAACAGAGAGTGAGTATAAATGGGAAATTTTCTCAGTGGAGGGTAGTAAGCAGTGGGGTACCACAGGGATCAATACTCAGTCCAATGCTTTTTAACTTGTTTATTAATGATTTGGAGTTGGGAGTAAGCCGTGAAGTAGCTAAATTTGCAGATGACACAAAGTTGTTCACGGTGGTGAGAGCCAGGGAGGATTGTGAGGCACTCCAAAGGGATCTGTCGAGGATGGGCATCAATGTGGCAAAAGGGGTTCAATGTGGCCAAGTGCAAAGTGATGCACATTGGAGCCAGAAATCCTAACTATAAATACACATTGATGGGGTCCGAACTGGCAGAGACTGACCAAGAGAGAAATCTTGGAGTCGTAGTAGATAACTCACTGAAAATGTCTAGACAGTGTGTGACTGCAACGAAAAAGGCCAATGCTATGCTTGGGATTATTAGGAAGGGAATTGAAAACAAATCAGCCACTATCGTAATGCCCCTATATAAATCGATGGTGCGACCTCATTTGGAGTACTGTGTTCAGTTCTGGTCACCACACCTCAAAAAAGATATTATAGCATTGGGAAAAATGCAGAAAAGGGCAACTAGAAGGATAAAAGGGTTGGAACACTTTTCCTATGAAGAAAGGTTAAAACGCTTGGGGCTCTTTAGCTTGGAGAAACAACAACTGAGGGGTGACATGATTGAGGTTTATAAGATTATGCATGGGATACAGCAGGTTGAGAAAGAAGTACTTTTCTCCCTTTCTCACAATACAAGAACCCGTGGGCACTCAATGAAATTGCTGAGCAGTCGGAACAGATAAAAGGAAGTACTTCTTCACCCAAAGAGTGATTAACACATGGAATTCACTGCCACAGGAGGTGGTGGTGGCTACAAGCATGGACAGCTTCAAGAGGGAATTAGATAAGCATATGGAGCAGAGGTCCATCAGTGGCTATAGCCACAAGGTATAGATAGGAACTCTCAGTCTGGGGCAAGTGATGCACTGTATTCTTGGTGCTTGGGG